CGTGGCCCCTGCTGGAGACCCTGACTTCTGAGGTTTCTGCTTCTTCTTTGACGTGTCTTCAAGAAGAAAGTCGTCAGCATCACTGTCACCTACTGCCGCCGTTTCCAACGAACGGGAGCGTTTAACGGCGGGCATAGGGCACGTTGGCAACACTGCAGTCAGGTGGAGTGGTAATGACGTCACTGCTACGTCACACTATCACATTGCGCATGCGCAAACTTGAAAACTTTGCTCAGAGGGATCGGGTGGTAGGACCAGATGTTTTATCCCAAAAAATGACAAAGTCCAAAGGTAAAAAAAAAATATATGCCACTGTGCTGATAACTGGGTCTTACTATAGTTGTCTGCACAGGCTGGGATTGGTAGACTCGCTGAATTCGTCGGAAATACGAATTTTAAGGAGCAGTCTCATACAGCCTTTGTTGACACTACACATGCATGCGCGTTCCTCTTCATTGTAGAAGTGCTGAACAGTGCTGAACAGACCGTATTAGACCAGAGTCTATGACTGCGTGTAGGGCTGTTGTTTGTTCAGTGAGGGCACACAAAGTTGACTACTACAGAAGTCAAGTAGCCTCTTAATGGTGTTTCTGTTGAATTTCAACCGAGTTACGCCATAAACCTCACTCTTTCATCTTTGTGTCCTGTACGGGTGAGCAACATTCTGAGCTTTATCAAGGACTCGATAAAGACATTTTGTCGTCTTGATCCTGTAAATGCATCTAAGGTACCACTCGCTTATGAACATGCTGCAGACTTTATTTGTAGAATCATAAATAAATGTTTTGCAGAGGGCAATTTTGTGCGATCTGAGAAGCTTGCTTTATTGCTTCCATTTTTATAGAAACCTGGTCTTGATACTGAAAATATGTCAAATTATCGTCCGATCTCCAATTCTTTTTCCTATAGGTAGAATCATTCAACTGAAACTGTCTTATGTAAAATTCATAACGATTTGGTAATAAACATTTGCACAGGAAAATTCTCTCTTTGATCTTGCTGGATCTCTCTGCAGTTTTATACACGGTGGAACATCATCTGTTGCTTTGGGATCTTTGGTCTTTTGGTTTCCGTGAGAATGCACTCTCACTACTTGAGTCTTGTTTGTCAGATAGTTTGTCAAATAGTTTGTGTGATAGTTGGCGGAACCATTTCAGACCAGGTCCCTTTGCAGTTTGGAGTTCCACAGGGATCAGTTTTGGGATCACTTCTGTTTTCAGTCTATACCAATAGTTTCGCATCACTGCTGGATGTTCATGGTGTTGCCTACCATTTATATGCTGATGATACACAGCTTCATGTGAAAATAATTTATGTAGTGGCTATTGAGGAGATATGAAATCCCTGATGTCTGATATTAAGAATTGGATGGCACAGTCCTGTCGATTCTATTCGTAATCTTGGAGTGTACTTTGACTCAAAACTGAATTTTAAAGAACACATAATTCAGTAGTTAAAAGTTGCAACTTTCATATTCAAAATTTGCATGCTGTTAAACAGTTTATGGATAGACAGTATCTTGCGACACGATTACATTCACTTATTTTTTCTCGGGTTGACTATTGTAACTCTCAACGGGTCTACCTACCTAATTATCTACTGAAGCAAGTTCGAACAGTGTTGAACAGGGTTGCCAATCTTATTTTTGCTCTCCCACCGAGGACTCCCATTACCCCATTCTTGATTGAATTACATTACTTTAAGACACTACGGTTTGGTGAGCCTAAGTATTTGGCCAACTTACTAATTCCACTAAATACACATTCTGAAATGATTTTGCGTAGTAGTGATGATCCTTCATGCCTTGAGGAACCTAGAGCAGTACGGAACGTTCTTTCGCCGCTCAATACTTCTCCTTTTCAGCGTTTATCAAGCAGCTGACTTCTGTGGAGGCCTTTAAGAAACAACTTCAGACTTTTTTTAAAAGTTTATGATCCTGAGCAGGGTATGGTGATGGAGAATTACACTATTAAAACTTAAAGGTATATGAATGATAGAAGTAGAACTGTCACCTTTTGTGATCTTTTATTGTAGTACAGTATTTCTTTTTATTCTCATGTCTTTGACTGTGTAATGTTCCGAGCACCAGTGAATTCTTTAGAAGAACTTGCGCTTTTGAGAAACAAAAGACCAGCTATTGTTGTTGTTGTTGTCATTATTATTATTATTATTATTACACTGGTCTACAAATTTTGATAATTTTTTTGCTTCAGAAATAAAATGGTTTTCCCTTTATGGATTTTGGGGTGCTGAAAACGAATATAACCATAAAAACAATTGATTGGCTTCAGTTTCCAAGAAAATTTAATTTTCACATTTTGTATATATGTTGGGCTCAGAAAACGAAAGGCGACCACAACGCGTTGTGGTTGTTTGGAAAATAACCTGAAGCTAGATTTTGCTATAGGTTAGGTTAGGTTAGGTTTGGTAAGGTTAGTTTGGATTGGGTTAGGTCAGGGTAAAATCCAAACGCAAAATTTCGTTTTCAGGTTATTTTGAAAGCAACCACAACGAGTTGTGGCCGGTTTTCGGCTTCTGAGCCCAACATATATGTATACAGTATATTAGAAATATATAAATATATCTTGATTAAATCCGATTTTTTTCTTCTTGTCTCTTGTATTCAAGTTCTGGGGCACCTCTTGTTACTGTCCAGCAGTAGTCTGCCTACACTAACATTTTCAGCAAGGAGATTCCACTGCTGCATTCTGGAACCCAACAATTCTGCTTTGCTCTTTGTCAATTCCAGATCTCTGACAAGGTCGTTTAGTTTATTCTGGGTTATCTTGTGCGGGTCAGAAGATGTCAAGTTATGAACGAAATCAAGGTCTTGCGAAGTTGAAGGCTCACAGGTTTCGCAGGTTCCGCCATCCTCTTCGTCCTCTGACTCCAGGGAGAATGAGTCTGGAGGCTCAGGAATGGGTAGTCCTTCGCCGTGAGGTACCGGGCGTATAGCAGATGGTATATTCGGATATTGTAAAGTCCACTTTTTCTTCTTGCAAATCCTTTCCTAACTGGGGTCACCATGCCATAGTAACAATTGCTTACGTGATTTGTTGGCTCCCTCAACACCATTGGCACTGCAAAAGGCATAGCTTTCCTTTTCCGATTCAACCACTGGCGAAGGCTCGTTGCACCCGAGTTCTGATTGAATCATCCACATCCTGTCCTCACGGTTGCCAGAAAAGCAAACAGTGCTAAAATCAATTTAAGTTGCACAATTGGTCCATTCAGTACAAGCCTGTCACCCCCCTCAAAACAAAAATTATTCGCCTCCACCCTTCCTTCTCTAGTCAAGGATACTGGCTACTGGCCTGATCCCATATCTTCATAAATAGAGTCAATTGACAATTTTAAGCAACTTTTTGTACTCAGAGCTCCCAAATTAGTAAAGATTGACTACTCTCATTTCCGAAGCATTTTGCATGTAGACCAGTTTATTATTATTATTATTATTATTATTATTATTATTATTATTATTATTATCACTGGCATCTCCATTTGAAAACATTTTAACAAATTATATCTTTCAGTTCAAGTGTGGCAGAGGTTCATCGCCACACCTTAACATTTAAGTGTTGTGACTCGTTCCTAAAATTTTACTTACTCGCATATACCGAGTATTTGATTTGTTCGTATAAAACTGTAATATTATCTTACCTCTAATAACTATACATTCATGTTGTATTGGATGACCAATAATTTGGTACTTTGCATTCCATCGCTGAAAAGCAGAACTTGGTTGGGGTGAGTAAAACTTTCTGAAGAGGAGGGTTTGATTTGATGAAAACGTACAACCTGCCAGCCTAGCAAGTACAATAAGATTTCTGCTGGGACCAACCTGTTGCCAAATAATGAAGTGTGAGTGGCAGTCGCTCCCCTGCATTCATTGCCCCCCTCCTCATTCTGGTGTCGGATTTTTCTGTGATTGGCGTCAGTAGTCGTAGTGATTTATTGTACTGCACCTTATCCATCCTGATCAAATTTCTCAGAGTTTTACGATCCTCTAAACTCAAATTTTTCAGTAATCTGTGGTGAACACTCTTTCTCATGAAGTGCCAACAATGAGCACACCTAGGCACGTTTTATGGAACGTTTGGCTGTTCTACGTTGCATGGTTGCACTACAGACATGATAAAGCGAAGAATAGCGGCTGTTTGTTGGTTTATTGACATGTTAATTTTGTTATTATTATCCTCTCTGTATCTCTGTTTTTATGGCTAAATAAACTGTTTCATTTCAATTCAATTCAATTCAAAGTGAAACGAATTACGCACTGGTTCTTTTGTGACAGGGCGCGTTCAGAAAATTGACAATCCTTAGAAAATTGATAAAGGAAATTAACGCAAACAGTGCTAGTGTGATGCCACCTTTAAAGGGAGGTGGCTAAATGAATGCCGTTGTGTTGTCTATTAAAAATCTAAAATTTGTATGGCTACTTTTTCCGCTGTGTCGTCTGTTATTATTCTTTTCTGCTTTGTCGCCTGTCATTTTTTCTGCTTTGTAATGAAGTCTTGAAATGTCTGCTTTGTATTGTATTATGCTTTTTGTTAATGGGCGCTTGTTGCCATTTGTCGTAAGTTCTCGTTTGAGTAATGAAATTTCTTGGTAATATTTTCATTTATTGCCTAAAACTTTATGATTACAGATTATATCTATCAATTATATATATATATATATATATATATATATATATATATATATATATATATATATATATATATATATATATATATATATATAATGTTACAGTCAATTAGTGTAACCAGTCACTTTTATACTGTGTTACAGTCAATCACTCTAACCACTTTCTTTAAAGTTTGTCTACAATTTGTTTCTTGTTTGTAGGGCCACACCAAAATATCCAGTCAGATGGCCGTGAAAGTGAGATGTAGTCTTATCAAAGGTTAACTCTCTCTGGATGATTCCTCAGTTGCATGTGAGAGAGCTTTATGTGGATATAACGAAAGTGTTTCTGCAACTAATTTTTCTTCCGGCAGCAAAGTCGCGCCCTGAGAGAGACGGTGACGTCACAGTCAGATATAACCGTGCTGCGTGATGGTGAACGTAAGTGAAACAACTCCTACTGTTGACATTGAATATTTACTGCAACTATTACGGTACTAATAATACTCTAGTATTATAGTATAAGTAGTACCAATAATAGTGGTATAATAATAACAGTAATTATATAATATAACAAAAGTATATTTGTAATAAAATAATGATAGTAATATAAAATAACAATAGTATAAACAGTAGTAATGATAGGAAAGTATAATATAACAATGGTATAAATAGTAATAAGAAAAATGCAATACTGCATAATAATAATATATTTAGTAATATTAACAGTGTAACAAATTAATAGTTCAGTATAGATAATAATAATAATAATAATAATAATAATAATAATAATAATAATAATAATAATAATAATCCTGGTGACCTGTCTCTAAGCCTAACACAAGCTCTTTAAGTTTATACTTGAGGGAATATAAACATTAAAGGCTAAGCAACCACTGTTTACTTACACCACCACAAACTACGAGTGGAAAATTACCTGTTATGATCTGTTAAGTGGTTCATGTTGACACTCAGGTATGAGAGGCTTATGTCACTACCTAATAAGTAAGAGTACACACACACACTAAATCTTCTTCAGTCAAGATTTACAAGGGAATGGAGGTACTGTAGCCGGTATGTGTTGTGTCCAGTTCACCTTTTACTTTTACTTTTATCCTCTTCACCACTGATCGGCTCGTTAGCGGCTTGGACGATCGGTCACGTCTCTGTTACGCACTGTTGGCAAGTACTGGGCATGCACCGGCTCCTGAATGTACCTGAACCTGCTCCAGTGTTGGTCAAGTCTGGTCTTGAACGAGCTCACTCACACTCGGTGCCGCCACAACACTTTCTGGTAGATTGTTCCAAGAGTTCACAACTCTCACTCCGAAAAAGTTTGCCCTCACAGTTTTCTGGACCTGCGGGTTCTCCAATCTTGAGCTGTGACCCCTAGTGGAGCGAGCGTCCGCCAGCTCCAAGAAAGTACACTCGATTGATTAGTGCCATTTGAGATGCTTATACACCTCAATTAGGTCGCCCTTGCCTGTCTGTAGTATAAGCTAGGCAAGTTCAGGCGCTCCAATCTCTCAGGGTAGTTGAGGTGCTGAAGTCTAAGCACCAGTTTGGTGGCCCTCCTATAAACATTTTCAACCAACTAACAGTTCCTAGCATATCTCGGGGACCAGATCGGGTGACAGTACTCTAGATGGGGAAGCACTTCACTCTTGAAGATCGCTACTAGGGACGGACCGTCTAGATATCTAAACGATTTTCTTATAAGACCCAATAATTTATTTGCCTGATTTACCTTCTTCTCGTAATGGCACGAAAACTTCAGCTCATAGTCAACATACACACCTCGGTCCTTCTCACATTCAGTCTCAAATAGTGCAGTTTCTTCATCACGTTGGGACATATGATACGCCTCCTTACTGTTGGTACACTCAAGGTGCATCATCTTACACTTCGTGACATTGAATCTCAGCAGCCATTTCTTCAACCATTCTTGGAGCTCGCAGAGATCCTTCTGCAGCTCTTCACAGCCCGCATGGTTCCTGATTTCCCGAAATAACTTAGCGTCATCGCCAAACATTTGTATGGAGGAGTGTACAACGTCAGGCATGGTATTTATGAAACAAACAAACAACAGCGGGCCCAATACACTGCCCTGTGGTACCCCGCTTGTGACAGGTACAGATGATGATTTAGTGCTATTAATCACCACACACTGCTTGCGGTCATGTAGAAAGTCTTCTATCCACGCTGGTCAGAATCTGCGTAACTACGATCTTCAAGCCTCAGGTCTGATACTCCTACTTGCGTTTTTAATTTCAACTTAGCATAACGGTAAAACGCCTTTGGGTTCGACTTGACCTCGCTTGCAACCAGCCTCTGGAACTCCTTTTCAGCCCTTCTACACTCTACTTTTACTTGGTTTCTGGCTCTTGCATACATCCTCCTGTCCTGCTCATCGTTTGACCCAACCCACATCTTGAATTTCTGGTTTTTCTTCTTAACTTTGTCGACCGCCTCATGGTTCATGTGTAGGGATCCCCTCGTATTCCTATAGGCCCTGGGTCTGGGGTATATATTTATCGATCAAATGGGTCACTTTACTTAGTTTTGATATTCAGCGTAGTGTCTGCGTTATTGTGCCTTAATGAGTCAGGCCAGTTGATACCCCTCGTCTCTTCCTCATCCCGTTGTAATTTCCCTTGTAATATTTGCACCTTGGCCTGGCCTTTTCTTGAACTATGTAACAGTTAAATCTGAATGACAACACTATATGGTGACTAGTGCCAACTGGGGCAAGGTGTTCCAGTTTGGCCACCATATCCTCCTCGTTTACGATGATGAGGTCTAGTGGCTTGAGTGTTTGCTCCCCTCTGTAATGTGTTGGGTCTCTAACATGTTGGAACAGAAAATTATCTCTCAGAGTTTTCACAAAAATAGTAGCAGGGTTATTCAAGTCATTTGGGATCAGTCATCTCGCTGTATACCATTACAGTCTTCGGACACGCTCTCTCATCCATCACCGCCTAAGAGCATCTCTATGGTTGGAGCAATTGCACGTGTCATGTAGATATAATCCATAGATATATCCCCCCCCCCAAAAAAAAAAGATTTTTTTTTATTGCTTCAAATTTGATGTTGTATGTATCTATGTTGTCCTTTTATATATATATATATATATATATATATATATATATATATATATATATATATATATATATATATATATATATATATACATATATATATATATACACATATATACATATATATATATATACACATATATATATATATATATATATATATACATATATATATACATATATATATATATATATATATATATATATATATATATATATATATATATATATATATATATATTACCTTGTTTTTACCTTTAATGTATACTATATATTGTAGATTCATATATGGAGTTATGAATATCTTCCCATTATATATTCGCCGCTGTGTCACTTTATATATCAATCTGCACATTAATCAATGCTCCTCTTGTTATCTCTATATTTCCTCACATGCATAATTCTATCAAAAACATTTTAAAAGTTTACATCAAAAACAATAACATCTTCCAATCAAATATATATAAAATTTGCTATTATCATGATTCGAAAAAAAGAAAATTGACATAATGCAGAATGGAGAATATCAAGATACATTGATACGTTAGGAACGGCACCCACACACACCCACACACTGTCGACATAAACTCTACCTCATGGTTACAAGTTAGTGGTGGTGGCGAGGGAGGTGTAATGTAAAGATGAAGTCCATTGTTTTAATTACAAAATATTTTCGGGTCTTCTTTATTTAAGTATGTGATCTACCTTTGGTTTATTGTGCTTCATCTGGTTCATTGTACTTCCTCTGGTTTATTGTTCTTCCTTTGGTTTATTGTCCTTCTTCTGGTTTATTGTCCTTCCTCTGGTTTATTGTCCTTCCTTTGGTTTATTGTCCTTCCTCTGGTTTATTGTCCTACCTTTGGTTTATTGTCCTTCCTCTGGTTTATTGTCCTTCTTCTGGTTTATTGTCCTTCCTCTGGTTTATTGTGCTTCCTCTGGTTTATTGTCCTTCATCTGGTTTATTGTGCTTCCTCTGGTTTTTGTGCTTCCTCTGGTTTTTGTGCTTCCTCTGGTTTATTGTGCTTCCTCCGGTTTATTGTCCTTCCTCTGGTTTGTTGTCCTTCCTCTGGTTTATTGTCCTTCTCTGGTTGGTTGCTTGATTACAGTATTCAAGTCCTTCCTCTAGTTTTGTTTTTGCTTCCTCTGGTTATTGTGCTTCCTCTGGTTTATTGTGCTTCCTCTGGTTTATTGTCCTTCCTCTGGTTTGTTGTCCTTCACTGGTTTATTGTCCTTCCTCTGGTTGGTTGCTTGAATTACAGTATTCAAGTCCTTCCTCTGGTTTTGTTTTGCTTCCTCTGGTTTATTGTGCTTCCTCTGGTTTATTGTCCTTCCTCTGGTTTATTGTGCTTCCTCTGGTTTATTGTCCTTCCTCTGGTTGGTTGCTTGAATTACAGTATTCAAGTCCTTCCTCCCCACGCCGCCACCAGGTGCCGCACAGAGTGTCCCCGGCAGCTCTGCTGGTACCCGAGTATATGAGTTTCAATGGGGCAGTGCTCGGCGGTTCCTCCGTTTGTTTGTTTGTTTGTTTGGATGCTTGTTAACCGGGCGAGGCCTCATGAACTTTTTGAGTAGAGAAGCTTACCCCTTAGAGGGGGGAGGGGGGTTCTCAGCTGAATGAAATCGTCTGGTGTGAGCCAGAATAAAATACTCAAGTGCGCTGTTGCTTTCTACAAAGGCTGAATCGAGATAAGCTCTAAATTTGGACCGAATAGTGACTATGTGCTATGGTACAAATTATCTGAGTTCTTTCATTAGTTCTTTATCTCCCCTTTTAGTACTTCAGTCTTCTTGCTTCATTATCCTCATAGTTTTTTTCGGTTTTGTTTCCCCAGACCTCTAATTTATGTTTGCAAATGAAGTGTTCTTCCTTATTTCTCTTTTTCCGTTTTCTCTCCCTTTTCCATGGCGAATATCGAAGTATCTTTGTTTTTTCTCTCCACCAAACCAGCCATCAGCTGATAGTACCTGTTGCGATACACACCGAGTTTACTGCTTGGCCTACCATGACAGTCATGCGTGAAATGGTCGTCGGAACCAGGGTTGCCAGATGGCCGTTTCCACGGCCAAATTTCTCTAATTAGGCCGTAAAAACTTCGCCTGGCCGTGAAAAAATGGATGGACACGGCCAAACTATTTGGCCGTATTTTGGCCGAATTTCGTAAAACACGTATTAATTCCTCATCTAGTGGATTTTGAAGAAAAAGTGCAGATTTTTAAATTTCACAATGAAGATGCTGGCTCAGTGAAATCACCTTGTCATGACCTCACCTCTTCACATGTTTACGTGACCTACTGAGCTGACTGATCTTTCTAGTTACTACCTTAGAACATACATAAGAAAGT